GTGCACGCAATTGTCCTGTTGAATCGACTACTCATCAACTGGTTCGGTAAACAATCAAACAACACCTATACGTCTGCAAAAAATATTGCTGCAGTGAACGAGAGTGTGTAGGATAAACCGAGGCAGTCAATTCCTCATCGCGCCCAAGAATTTGGTCCTTCGAAAACGTCCTCTTGACGAATTTTGCTTTGGGACTTGCATCCGTACGTAATTCAATTGACCCAGGAACTGGAGGTAAACTGCCATAGGCAGCGTCAAGCATTCGCTGACTGGGCTCTGGAGCAGTTGGAAGTGGACCCCGACTTCGGACAGAAAATCATCTTCAGCAACGGGACTCATTTTTGGATGAATGGCTATGTCAACAAGCAAAACTGCCGCAATTGGTAAGATAGAGATAACATGATACCCGGTAGTTGCAAATGTATCCAGAAAAAGTCACTGTTTGGTGTGGAGGGGTCATTGGCACATACTTCTTCCAAAATAAAGGTAGCGCCGCTATAACTGTCACCGGCGATGGTTACAGATCGATGATAACCAATTTTTTGTGGCCTAAATTGGATATCGATCTCGATGATAGTGGTTCCAACAAGACGGCGCTATGCCACAAAGCGCATGCTATAATGGATCTTCTGCACGACAAATTACTGTGGTTACCTCGCGTTTCGGCGACGTCAACTGTCCATCGAGATCGTATGATTTAACACCACTAGACTTTTTGTTGTGTGGCTACGTTAAATCACAGGTAGAGTTGTTTCAAAATCTTATGAGTTTTGACCTTGATATGCGCAGAAACATAATTCCGACCGTCTGTCGCCTAAATTATTCTACGTCCTAAAAACATTTCATCTATTATTCAGTCTATCTCGAGCTCTCGTAGCGTAAACAAGCCTTTGATCCGATTACAAATATCATAATAAAATGCTCTATTCTTTATTATTTTAATTTAAGCAATAAAAATATACAGGGTGTTCCTAAATAAGTGTCGCAACGGAAAACTGTAAATTCCTCTTGAAAAAGGAAAAATTTTTTTCCTCTTCCATTTTTCTCTCCGGGCTTTCGTTTTCGAGGTACACGGTGTCAAAACTTTAATTTTTTTTTAATTTTTTGTCAATATCTTAGGAACCGTTTGATCTACAGGACTGAGCTTTTATACACACATTACCACTATTAATAGCTACTTTTTCGCACCCTTCTCGAATTCATTGAACGTGCCAGTGGTGGAGATTTTAAGGTATCGTAAGGGTTTCCCCCCCTAACTTTTACGCCACTAGAAAAATTAACATTTGATAGCAAATTCTGAAGCGCCAATGGATTTTACACAAACAGAGTTCTCTTAGTTCATTGCTCTAAAGTCAACCGTTTTCAAGAAAAATGACTTTTTATGAACAAAAACAAACATTTTGCTAACGTTTCGAAAATATTTTGTAATTTAAAAGATGGGTAATAATAATTAAATATGTTAACGAAATTTAACAACATTTGCAACAAGTAGCTATTAATAGTGGTAATGTGTGTATAAAAGCTCAGTCCTGTAGTTCAAACGATTTCTAAGATATTGGCAGAAATTTGAAAAAAGTTTTGGTACTGTGTATCTTGAAAATGAAAGCCTGGAGAGAAAAATGGAAGAGGAAAAAAATTTTTCCTTTTTCAAGAGGAATTTACAGTTTTCCGTTGCGACACTTATTTAGGAACATAGGGTGTTCCATATAACTAACGTTCGCCAGTTGACTTTATTGATGCCCGAGCGCCTTAGTTCATTTCTGGTTGTAATGAGACACGTGGTCTAATTCTGAGTCAATGTTTTCACAACGTGTTTATTAGAAGAATTATGTGGCTACACCACGCCTTTCGCGCATTTCGCGGCTCATGAGATTCTGAAACTACTTCTACAGGGTGGTCCGTAAGTAATGGTCCATAGAGACATACTAGATTTTTTCCTTCAAAATATTACGATTGGAGCCAATATGCCTTAATAAAATGTTGNCAATTTTTAATTTCCAACTTTGACGCCCTGTATCTTTTTTGTTATCAACATTTTATTAAGGCATGTTGGCTCCAATCGTAATATTTTGAAGTAAAAAATCTAGTATGTCTCTATGGACCATTACTTACGGACCACCCTGTATATGCGAATAAGTCGCAGACGATTGATACTTTTAAAGTCTATATGTATAATCGATGATATCGAGCCCTATTTATGCGGTCGAGGCATCGAAAATTGGACCTTCCGGATACGCGCCATCCAGTGAAGTCACGGAAAATCAATTAACTAAGTTAAGTAATTAATTAAGTTTATTCTATTATCACAAAGCAGAAAAATATATAATTTCAATTGTATATGATTTAATTTACACACACACACACATAGGATTTATTTTCTCATTATGATTAGGTTTCTTAAAAATTCACATTGAAAAAGTATTTACATATAGCGTAGATGCAATATAACTATTTATAGCAACAACACAATCAACTTTTCGTTCATCATTATCATAAAAATAAACTTCTTGAAAACATCTTTCTTTCACAATGTATACATATTTTCTGAATAATGTGTAAATAGCAAATGAAAACGAGTTACAGTTACTAGAACTAATTCATATGTAGATATACATAATACCTATTTTTATGGTATATACAATGACATTTTCTTAGAAAATAACACCGACCAACAAAAAAAGTTATGTGTACTTTACATGCGATATATGATTTCCAGTGTATTTTTGTCTCCTGAGCACGAATCCATAGTCTGTTTTGCTCCATCACCCTTCAGTTTTCCGTAAATCGCTGAATACCTTCAGAAAGTCGCTAAAAATCTTCAGTAAAATGGAAAAATTTAGGAAGTGACGAGATCTTAATACGTGACACATGTTTTTCAACGTAATTTTACCTATTGTGTCCGAATCCGTTGTCAGAATTATTCCATAACCCTTTAGTCTTCAAAATATCGCTGAAAATATAAAAAATGGCAAATTTGTAGAAGTAACGAGATATTTATATGTATATGACTCATAGTGGTCATCATCATGGAATATTTCGTTACTTCTACAAATTTGCCATTTTTTAGATCTTCATCGATTTTTTGAAAACCAGACGGTGATGGAGCAAATCTGACATTGGATTCGGATTCAGAAGGTACCAATACGTCCGAAAACATATGCCGCATGTCAAGATCTCGGTCCTTCTCAAATTTCGCCCTTTTTCTGAAAATCTTCAGCGATTTTTTGAAAACTAGAGGGTTAAGGAGTAATTCTGACGACGGATTCGGATTCAGGAAGTAAAATTACGTCGTAAAACATGTGCCACGTGTTAAGATCTCGTCACTTCTCAAATTTCTCCATTTTACTGAAGATTTTTAACGACTTTCTGAAGGTATTCAGCGATTTACGGAAAACTGAAGGGTGGTGGAGCAAAACAGACTATGGATTCGTGTTCAGGAGACAAAAATATACGGGAAACCATATGCCGCATGTCAAGATCTCGTCACTTCTCAAATTTCGCCCTTTTTCTGAAGATACAATTTATTAATTTGTGGACATCTATAAAACTATTCTTGAATATTATAATAAAACATTTTTATTAGGACTCTTTTTAACACAATATTATTCTAAAGACCATATTGTATTTTTCTGTAGCCTTTCAACAATTGATCGGAATCGGAACAAACATTAGGTACTCTTATAAAACACTTTTAAACAATTAAAAAATTATCTTTAAGCACCGTAATATAATCGTCACTTTTGTATTGTACCATTTTTATGGAACGTGATAGATGTTTGTATGCCGTATTGCAATAAACGTAATTATCGTTCAGAGCGGTGCCCCTTAAAAGATGGCAGTTAGTTTGGATATAAAGTAACATATGACAGTATATTATAGGAAAATACTACATATTTAATTCCTACTACAGATCGGAAATATTGGGGCGGCTGCAATGTGGTATAGGGGTATATGTGGGGAAAATATATAGGTATAGTAGGTAGTATCAGCAAAAGTTATCAAAATAATAATTTATTCACTATTAAGGAAAGCGATTGTAGAAAATAATTAACAGTTGTTCTAAGTGTTCCGTGGTTAATCGTCTCCGGCGATCGGTAAATACCCATTTCAAAAACGAAAAGATCGAGGTCAATGGCGCATATTGTGTAAAATAGTCGGAAGTTTTTAATATATGTTATTTTTACTAATGATGGCGAAGCATCAACTACTTCACATTTTATTAATCCCACTATATAATTGTGAGTGTATATATAATATAACACGTGTTTTTAGGGCAGTCAGTAGCATTGTGTATTGTGAGCATAGACCGGCATATGACCACAACAACAGATTATTTATTTGATTGTCGCCACAAACTTTCCGATATCTATTAATTACCTACTGCATGCATTTTAGTTATCCCTACCAACCATTGTGTTTTTAACATAATTTCTCCTAGCTGATTAAAATTCAATATCGCGTAAATAGTGGTTTTAAAGCTTTCACAGCTACTGCCAATGTTTAAAGTACGATGCTTTTTTGGGTTGTTATGCCATGGCCTGTTGCACTTCCTTAACCTTAACTAGGAATCTTTGATCTGCTCTTGTTGTTCTCGGGCTAGGCTCTATGGTGGCGGACCCGCTATCGGAACTCCTAAGCCCGCCCTGATGTTCATTTCGGTTCTTATTGGGTCTAAGACCGTTACGAACGAAACCACTTCTCAGGCAATAATGCTCCGAGATGTTCTGTAGTGGTCTCTGCAACTAATCGCATCCAATACTTCCAAACGTTTCGCCGTTCTTCACTGTCGGCATCTTCAATAGTGACTCTGCAAATAGCTTTTTTAACAATTAAAGCACCCAAATTCGTTCAAACATATTTTTTTACAGTTTTGTTTTCAAAAGCTTTCCTGATATTGAAAGCTATTTCAAAATCAGTAAAGACCTTCCAAAAATGTAAAAATTTAGTTACACTCTTTAAATACATGAAATAATTTAACAAAATATTTTCTTTCTTTCCAGCGGATGGAGTAACGTATTCTTTTGGAATTTTCTACGATGAATTTCTGGATTATTTTAAAGAAGGAAAAGCACTAACATCGTGGATCTTATCAATTTTAGTGGGAGTTACATTATGTTCAGGTTAGTGAGCACCAATTTTTTATTGTTTTTAAAATTAATATAATAATAATAAAACTGAAAAACACATTGTTCCTTATGTGTCAAGCATTGGTTACTAATAAAACATTCAGTTAATTAATAAATCAAATGTTTCTACAGTGTGTTCTGCAGCGAAATTACTTGATGGCATAATTTTTTAAAATATTTAAGTAAAAAGTTCCCATAAACACGTAATAGCTTCTCCACAGTTATCATTTTGTTATATAAAGAATAAAAAGTGAAGCATGTGTAAATTTTAATTTGGTTTCATTTCTAGGGGTCTCTACAGGGTGATTCAGTCATAATGTCATTAATTTTAACCACGTATTCGGAAGGCAGAACAAAGACAGAACATTGAAAAAAAAAAATGTTACCCGATCTTTTAAAAAATAAACAAATTACCCCTTAACTCCCGTTAATTCGGCACCCTACTTCGCGGCACGGAACCCAACAGCGGACTTAGAATGTTCAAAGGTCGAAGCGAAACAGCTGATTTTTTACCCAGTCGTCTACAATTTTGCAACTGGTTTCAAAATCAGGGTGCAGAAGATACTAAAACTTTAATAACAATGCTAGGACCGAATGATTGAATGTTTTTGTTTCAGCCATATGTCATTTTAAGTTGGTAGGTACCATGCTCTTTGAAAAGCAGTCACACAATAAAGTATACGTACTACAAACTGAATAATTATTTGAACATAATGTAATAATAAAAAGTCACATTCACATTCAATAAACATAGTGAATAGGTTAACAATCTTAAAATTACTAAATTCGAAAACAATTACCTATTATCCTTACACATTTGTTTTTATTGACAAATAAATAATACTTGTTAATATTTAACATATAAAAATATTCATTCACGTGTTTATCTAAAAAGCTGTCTTTATTCGATGTAGCTCCCTACGGATTAAAAAATCATTTAAAAGCTAGGTTAATGACCGCATATTACGGGAGGTCAAGATTCACTGTTAATAAATCTTTTAAAAAAATTTTTTCACGTTAATTTTGCTTTTAAATTTTTTTTTAATCACGTATTCGTATTCTATTCATTTTTCCCCTACTTTCCGTTAAAATTAATGGCATTATCACTTAATCACCCTGTATATCAGAAAATAATTTTCAGCAGCAAATTCAACGAATTTCCCGATTTATGCTTATGGGAATATAAAAAAATTATTACGACAAAAAATCCAATTGTTATTTTCATTTAATAATTTTTAAGTAAATATCCGGGCAACGAATTTGGTACTGTTTATTTTTTATGTACCTACAGAATGTTATTATTGAGAGGATTTATTTACATTAATACATTTGTCACTAACAAAAATGTTTAAAAACTATCATAATACCATGATATGGCGAAATACTAAGCGCCTTTCGTGGTAAGACAATAAGTTATTTGCTTATATGTACGAATATGTGATTTATTTCCAAATAAAATATCAGTAAACAAAATTAGTCTGAATGTTTTATATATTTTAAATAAATGTTATTTTTGATAATTCCTAATGTTATTGATTAATCACAATTAAAAAAAAAAATAATTTTATTAGTTAAACACTTGACATTTTACATTTTTCAGATAAATTAGAAAATGGTATTAATACTTAGGTACCTGTTTTTGTTTATATTTTCCCAACTAACAGATAAACTTGTTTTCCTATGCTTAACAATATTATCTAAAAGTTAATTGAAACAAGAAATTATTTTGACATATTCCACCAAGATTACCTTGTCCTCTGATTCAAAATAAAAAAATCAAATCCGTGAATTTCTTATAGGAAACACTATTTTTTAAAATCTGAATCGCTTTGTAAATGAGATAGATATTTTTTTCAAACTGAAGTTTACTTTAGTCAGTTTCAGTAAATTTTTCGTAAATATTTTTATTTTTATAAGCAAATTGTTACGAATGAACTTCCAAATTGACTTATTTACAAAAAAAAATAAGGTTGTCTTATTGTTTTTTCGGTCCGTGCAAGTGTTTGAAACTTTTTTAGTATGTATATGCATTTAGTATCTAATTATTATTATTATTTTTGGTAAGAACTATTGATAGATCAGTGTTTTCTGAAAATGTATAATAGTGGACAATTAACATTTTGCAAGTCTGCTCCTCAAATGATCTCTTTTATTTTATTAACGTAAACCATTTTTCTAGGGCCAATATCAAGTTCGTTCGTGAACAGGTGGGGTTGCAGACCAGTCACCATCGTGGGGGCTCTGATAGCATCAGGATGCCTTGTGCTATCGTTCTGGGCGCAGAACGTCCTGACATTATGCTTCACCATAGGAATCGGCGCCGGAATAGGTTTCGGCTTAATTTACCTCCCAGCAATTGTAAGCGTCACAACTTATTTCGAAAAGAAGCGATCACTCGCCACGGGAATAGCCGTTTGCGGATCAGGGTTCGGCACCTTTCTGTTTGCTCCAATCATATCGAAACTTTTAACGGAATACGGATGGAGAGGTTCCATACTAATAATAGCAGGGATTGTTCTGGAATGCATTATATTCGGAGCACTGTTTCGGCCGCTGGAAGGCAAACGCGATGTGGAAGAAGGAAAAAGGCTGAAAGCCGCCGAGGCAAACATTGACATACATGTGTCGAATCACGATTTACATCAGTTCACCACCGGTCTCCTGTCAAACGGAAACAACATGCACCGACCACACAGCATGGGACACTTTTCCATACCAAGAGTGCTTAAATACGAACCAAACGGCAATATACCTAGCGAAAAGCAGAAAGGTAACGATATAGCCCGACTAGCTTTGAGTCAACCAATGTTAACACAGTCAGAACCTCATTATAAACATATCCATCACTACGGTAGCCAAAATTTACGAAGACATGGTCCGCTTGATAGGCCGGACGTGTTTTATCAAGGAAGTCTAATGAACATACCCTCGTACAGATCTAAGCTGGACTTGAAAAGGGGCGAGGAGGGGTCGGATATCGAACGACGACATTCCACTTTCAGTTATAAAAGGCGACACCATCCCGAGTCTGAACCAGAAGAGACCACCGTATGTGGAGTCGTTCCCTGTTCACAAGAGACCAAGGATACGCTTAAAGAGATGCTCGATTTGTCATTATTCAAAGACGTTATTTTTATAATATTCTCTTTAAGTAACTTATTAACTAGTATCGGATTCAATATCCCTTACGTATATATAGTGCCCAAGGCAAAACTTCTAGGGATGAACATCGATAGAGCTGGTATGCTCATTTCCATTATTGGAGGTGCAAACACAATAGGAAGGATAGTTCTCGGTTATGTGTCTGATAAGCCTTGGATAAACAGACTGTATATATACAACTGGTCTCTAACCATTTGTGGGATAGGTGAGTTTAATTTTCACAATTGAACCTAACCTAAATTAGATTGGGAACTAATTATGCCATACCATATTTTGGCATTAGAATACTGTACAGTAATCCTTGATAAACAAAGATTTATATCTCGGAAACAGTCCACGTCTATTTTACAAATAAATAAACAGCCTCGAAAGTTATTATAAACTTGCTGAATGCCCCTGTATTGTGTAATTAAAATGTTTCAAAGTATTTTAATGGCAGACGCCATAAATTGGCAAAAAAATTATTTCAACACAAATCCCCTAGTTGCTTAATTTACGAAATACAGGGTATCTTTTTATTATTGAAAGAAATACGGTTTACTTCCTCATTCCTTAAAAATAATTGCGTTATCATGGTTACTAAATTATTATTACTCTTGTGTCGTTATGTTATAAGTAACTATTAAGTAGCAAGAATTATTTCACTCATCTACAAAATATTTCCTAGGTTTCCAATCAGGAATAATTTTAACGCCTCTATTCACGATGAAAATCTGTATTTTCGTTTCTAGAGAGACAGCATGTCACAGTCGTATCGGCTAAGCCGTGAGAAAATCCTTAACTGTACATGAGTGGAAAAGTATATTCTCTTTAATCTTTAACATTCTATATCTAGGTATTTCGAAAACAAAGCATCTGAAGAAACGTTAATATATGAATATATTTTATTAAATTTTTGGCAAAAACTGTAATTAAAGTATTTCACAGCCACACAAAAAAAGAAAAGCATTCTGTACTTTTCATGCGACATATGTTATCTGTAGTATTTTTGCCTCCTGATCACGAATCCGGTGTTATAATTGAGCTATCACATCACAGGAATTTCCTAACCTCAAAAAGCAGGTAAAAAAATAGCAAAAATTCATGAAAAAGTGCTAGGAAAATACCAAAAAAATGTTTTTTCTATATTCAAATGATTTATATAGTTCAAAACCCGCCCAATGTGAATCCGCGGTCAGCATTAATGGTTCTTTTTCTAACCTCAAAAAAACGTGTCAATTAAGGTCAGATATCACGAATTTTCAAATAATAACAGATTTGCGCCAAATTTGGTATACGGGGGTTTTCTGGGTCGTTGATCACGGATTCGAGGTCAATTTTGCAAAATTCAAGATGGCGGATCCAAGATGGCCGATCAAATTTTCAAAAAATAACAGAATCGCAGCAAATTTGTGTTAATCTACTTTTTTCGGCTATATCTTGATATTTTTTCTGTGAAAGATCTATTCACGGGTTGAATTTTGTCAATCTGATCTCCGATTCGTGATCAGTGACCTCGAAAACCCCCGTGTACCAAATTTGATGCGAATCTGTTATTTTTTGAAAATTTGGTCGGCCATCTTGGATCCGCCATCTTGAATTTTGCAAAATTGACCTCGGATCCGTGATCAGCGACCTCGAAAACCCCCATATACCAAATTTGGCGCCAATTTATTATTTTTTGAAAATTCGTGATATCTGACCCGTTTTTTGAGGTTAGAAAAAGAACCATCAATTCTGACCGGTAATTCACGTTCGGCGGGATCTTCACTATATAAATGAACATTTGAATATAGAAAAAAAAATTGCGAAATTCATTTTGTAATATTTTTGTTTCATTTATAACTTGAGTACCCAATCATGTTTTAACTTTATTTTTTTCGGCTATATCTTGTTCTTTTTTCTAGTTTTCCTAGCACTTTTTCGTAAATTTTTGCTATTTTTGACCTGTTTTTTGAGGTTAGGAAATTTCTGTGATGTGATAGCTCAATTCTGACACTGGATTTGTGATCAAGAGGCAAAAATACTACTGATAACATATGTCGCATGAAGAGTACATACTACTTTTCTTTGTTTGTGTGGCTGTGTTATCGTTACATTGAGTATAAATATGTATTATTGCCACATTTATAAATATACAGTATGTTTCAGAATAACGTACCATAAATCCTGAGACTAATAGGACACTAAAAAGAAAGAGACTTTTTTCCATGACCTATAAGTCATATTTTGTTTTCAGTATACAGGACGTTGGTTAATTTTTTTAAATGAATTTCATTTTCAGAAATAAATAGATTACGATTTGATATTTTGTAGATCATGTTTAATTAACTTGTAAATAATTTATACAGAACTTTTGTTATGCGGCAAACCCAGAATATTTCTATCACAACTTGTTTGAGGTTTATAACTTCTTATGATTACTTACTTACTTTATTTATTCATTGACAAAAACAGATTTTTTTCTTTGTTTATTATCAGATAATAATGTTCGTGAGTCAATTTACCAAATTCTTGTTTTATACAAGGTATTCTTTGCGAATATTTAATGGTGTGATTCTACACAGAAAATTAATGATAGTTGGCTTTATATAAACTATAGCGTAAAAATGTCCCGTTGCGAAAATACGGGGTGTTAAAATTTTAGGAAACAGGAGGAACTTAATTAATATTTTCGAGGCCCCTAGAGATATTTCAGTGATATTTAGTACGTAGTGATTGTTAATAAATGCACATGTTTTTAATAGAAACATAACTTGTAGCCCTAACAATGGCGAGAATACGAGCACTGACTGATATCTTTAAAGAAAAAAATGGTACAACAATGGTTCTTTTCCCAAATAAATTATTTTGAAATCACCGTGCAATTCCAGAGATAAGATCTCTCTTGAATTTTTGTTCTATGATGCGCCGTTTTTGAGAAAAATAATAAAACCCCCAGTATTGTCCGTAATTAAGAATACAATTTTACAATAAGTCTAGTCCCATTAATACTGTAGAGGAATTAAGAGAAAGAATAATTACAGTATGTGATAGAAAAAAAATACTCCGGGAATATTTAAACGAGTGCGCAATTCCATGAGAAACAGGCCGGAAGCATGCATATTAAGTGAAAGAGGTAATTTTCAACAATTCTGGTAATAATAATTTGATAATGGTTGTAATGTTATATTAATGTTGTATGCTGTTAATTATTGTAATGTATTTAAGTTTTGCCATTAAATTATTGTTAAGTATTTTTACTCAAAAACGGCTCATCGCAGGACAAAAACTCAAGGGAGCTCTTATCTTTCGAACTGAACGGGAATTTCAAAAATAATTTTATTTTCAAAAATAATTTTATTTGCGTTATTACACAGCCACGCAAAAAAAAAGTTGTCTGTATTTTTCATGCGACATGTTATCCGTAGCATTTTTGCCTCCTGATCACGAATCCTGTGTCAGAATTGAGCTATCACTTCACAGGAAGATCCTAACCTCAAAAAACAGGTCAAAAATAGCAAAAATTCACGAAAAAGTGCTAGAAAGAACACAAAATTTTTTTTTCTATATTCAATTGTTCATTTATATGGATAAGATCTCGCCGAACATGAATCCGTGGTCAAAATTGATGGTTCATTTCTAACCTCAAAATACGGCTGGTTCAATTAAAGTCAGATATCAATTTTCAAAAAATAACAAATTCGCGCCAAATTTGGTCTACGAGGGTTTTCGAAGTCGCTGATCACGGATTCGAGGTCAATTTTGCAAAATTCCATAAGGCGGATCCAAGATGGCCGACTAAATTAAAAAAAATAAGATTCGCGCCAAATTTGATATACTGGGTTTTCGGGGTCGCTGATTACGTATTCCAGATCAGAATTGCGAAATTCATTTTGTAATATTTTTGTCTCATTTATAACTTGAGTACCCAATCATGTTTTAACTTTCTTTTTTTCGGCTATATCTTGTTCTTTTTTCTGTAACGTTCACGGGCTTTCTGTCTAATCTCAGGTAATCCAGTACATAGGTAATCGATTAAATTTTTAAAGTCGAATTTTATGAATTTGATATCGGATTTGTGATCAGTGGCCCCGAAAACCCTCTTATACCAAATTTGGCGCGAATCTTATTTTTTGAAAATTTGGTCGGCCGCCATCTTGAATTTTGCAAAATTGGCCTCGAATTGACCTCGGATCCGTGATTAGAGACCCCGAAAACGTGAAATTCGTGATAACTGACCTTAATTGAACTGCTTTTTTGAGGTTAGAAAAAGAAACATCAATTATGACCGCGGATTCGCGTTCGGCGGGGTCTTAACCATATAAATGAACATTTGAATATAGAAAAAAAAAAAATGTAGTTTTCCTAGCACTTTTTCGTGAATTTTTGCTATTTTTACCTGTTTTTTGAGGTTAGGAAATTCCTGTGATGTGATAACTCAATTTTGACACCGGATTTGGGATCAGGAGGCAAAAGTACAACGGATAACATATGTCGCACGAAAAGTACAGACAACTTTTTTTTTTGTGTGTGTGGCTGTGTATTAATTAAAACTTAAAACAAACATTTAGGGTCTGTCAAAACGTATATCTACCAAATCAATACAATACATCGACTACTTTTGAACGTAGTGGAAAAGTTCATAAAAAATAAATTAACTCCCTGTTTCTTGAAAATAAAAGGGCACAGGAAATAACTTTCTTATTTTTTTCTATTGCCTTCTATTTATTACCTATGGGATTTATGGTGCGTCAATCTGAAACTCTCGTACAAATAAAAAGAATTTGTATTTATCATTTTATGTGTAATTAACTTGATATTGATAACCGTCAAAACATGGCAACCGTTGTTTACTAAATGAAATATAATACCTGCGAAGGCTAATAAAGCATCGTCCACCCATGTTTAAATTAAACAAACAGATTTTCAACAATGTAATTACATATTTAAAAGGTTTCGATATTTGCTAACTGCTACCATTCGATATCTGCATTTCCTTTGCAGTTTTGATTTGTTTTCATAATTTCATTTCAGTTCATTACATTTTGGAAAATTAAGTTAACTGATGTAATAGGTATACAGTGAGGACGCTTGGGTTGGAAAAATTCGTTTAAAATTCAGGAATTCGTTTTTTGAAAAAACGCTAGAACTCATTTTTTTATTTTTTGCTGCGGTTTTCTGATGGGAAATGTTCATATATACAGAGTGGCCCAAAAATAATTACAACAATCAAATGAAAATACC